TTACTTCTATAAGCAAATCACAGAATAAAAAAGGAAAACCAGCAACGGCTCCACTTGGTTACCCTGCTTTACTGAGACACACAGGACGGTAGGATTTGAAGCTATATAATTTGAAAGCTGAACATAAAAGTATTTTCAAACAACGTTGTTTCAAATTTGGATGTAATATATGAATATATAATTTTCAAACTATATAGTTTCAAAACTCTGTAGAGAAAAAAGAGTGGTTTTAAATTACAGGTCTTTACTGGGAATTCAGCTGAGCACAGCTCCATCTTAAAGTACCTTTCCTCCACTGTGGTGAAGCAGGTAACCTCTCTCTTGACTAGTGCTGGTTAAAACCATTTATGGGGCATTTGTAGGCCAAAAATAACTACTGTAAGGAAGCAGCAAGACCTTGGGATTAGTTATACAGCCTTAATACTAAACTCTATACTGCAGATACAAGCAGTCTTACAAAAACAGAGCAGATATTTCTTAAATGAGAGAGGATATTAACTAAATTAATTAACTAATTATTTAAGGATAATTGCCTTTCAGGAGGGAAACTCAGCAATAATTTCTGATGAGAGGAAGATGTTTGATTTGTCTCATGATACTCTGTTCATAGAGTATGAAGCTTTTTGAAACTATAGATTTTTAAATGTCTCTGTGGAGGTGTTTTTCTGCAAATCCCACAATAGTAGTAACTGTACTAGTTTGCTAAAATAAGCACCCGTGGTATCAACAAGCGGAACTGTCATAATTCAAGGTTGACAAGGGGCCCAGTTTAAAATAGTGATCCTTCCCTAAACTGTGTGTCTTAATGCCATGTTACACAACCTGGAGAGGGACTGCACAGGAGAGAAGATGCCAGGTGGGTTGGAGAGAAATGTGTTAACAGAAGATCCTGATACAAAGTTTAAAACCATCGCATTAAACATATCTAAAAGCTGGTAGAACTACTCAAATGTTGTACATTGCACATAGGGGAAGTTCACAGATGAAAAATAGACCCCAAAATCCACCCATACCAGTGGACTTTTTTCTCCAGTCTCATGATTCAAAGGCTGTGACTCCTAATTTTGGGACTTCTGGACCTAGCAAAGTTTCTCAGACCTCCCTGAGACCATCAGAGAGCAGCTGTTGCAGGGGAGATTTACTTTCCGGTACCTACCAGCTAGTCTGGGAAGGGTCTTGGAGCCAGAGGAATGGTTTCATGGCCAGGAGGACCATCAGGTACCCCAGAAAAGCTGTCATAAATGTGAGGCTAAACTATAAAGCTTGTCAAGCCAAAAGGATGAGGAAAGTGTGGGTTTTGGAGCAGAGGCAGTGAAAGTGAGTAGCTGAGAGCAGCTCTGCTTCACACCCTCTTCCTCACACCTTCACACACAAAGCCATCAGGCACTCCTGTTCAGTGACTTCCTAATGCTATCACAGCTGAATTGGTAGCCTTGGTAATGGGGGCTATTTGTATACAGCTTCTGTTCATCAAGTGGCTCATTTGGAAACCTAACTGGCCAAACGTTCTTACTGGCTCGTGCTGGAACTACAGAGTCTTGGAAAAAGGAGGTGAGAAGGGTGATTCCCATGCACAGCTCCTTTCTCCTGCCCCTATGTGCTCATGGATGCCAAAACCCAGCCAAATGCCTGTAGATTTGGCAGTGAGAGCTTACAGATGGATGAATAATGCTCTGGACTACCAAAAGAGCAGGCTGGGGTGTTGGGGAGCAGGCTGTTTTAACAAAACAAGGAGCTAGAGCTGAGTGTGTCTGATTGCCAAATTTAAGGAAAATCTGACTTCAAGCAGCTGAACAAAGAAGCACCAAGATCTATGTCCAAACCCACAGGTCTACCCCTTAAAAAAGAGTGTTCTGTTATCCTTTAGATTTCAGTATTTCCCCAGCAGCTACTTATGGACCTCCTTATTCTTGACCTCCAGGCCTTCAAACAGGACACTCCTGCCAAACCTCTGGCACCTGCAGTTAAAAACACACTAGGAGCCACAGAAAGGCCACACTAGAGCCATTTTCACCCTCCAAACTATCGTGACTCAAAGTTATCTCTGGGACAGCAACTGTTTACCTGGAGTTGCTGGAGACCTCTGCGCTGAATGCCAGCACATGGCCATGTGTGACGCCTGGACCAATGCAAGGCATCAGTAAAGGTCATCAAGTCCTGAGCAAGCAGAGGACAACCACAGCCACCCTCTGGCAAAGACAGAGACTTGTTCCTGCTAGCAGGGCATCACCTCCAGAGGTGTGAAGATTGGATCTCATCACCTCGTGGGCAGGCAAGATCAGCACACACGGCGTGGGCACGCCTGCCGCTTGTGGCATCCCTTGGCTGGCACCCTGCACCTCTGTGCTCCTGGCTGCGCAGAGGCTATGGGAACTCTTTTGCTGCCACACAAGAACAGAGCAATGCTGTAGCAGAGTAGGGTAGAGAATGTGAGTTTTAGTGATCATTCAGTTACCCTACCTTGCAGTACACAGCTTTGCTTGTTTTAATTTGGCTGTGGATGGTGCCTGGCTAATGGTTCTGTTTGTTTCTCATGTACTGGTTTGTTTTTATTAAGGGTTGTGTCTACCCAAGCATGATCCTGCATGCTGTTGGTCTGTCACTGCTGAGCCCTCCCTGGGCTCTGTCCTCCATCCCTCACTTGTTCTCATCCTGCCAACCTGTCGTCATCTGGTTCTGTCTTTCCCTGTATGTGGTCTCTGTACTGCCACGGTTCATTCCTGCCTTTCACCATCCCACTGTTGCTTTTCCTCCCTCTGTCCCAAGTCAATTAGTGGTTTTCAAACCAGGAGATTCACAAATGGTAACTCATACCTCTTCTGTTGCTCAAGTCCCCATGGAAGCCAGAGGATGCTGGCTCAGAGGCAAATGTCCAGTGCAGTCAGGCAGTGACACTTGTAGAGAATTCATAGCCAACCACATCTGATCAAACTCCCAAATTCATAAGCTTCCCTTCATCCTGCACTGACACCTTCACTGCAACCATGATAGTCACAGAGATCACAGGATTTTCCTCCATTCCCAAAATGCGTTTGTCTCTTCCATCCCTCTGAAATCCCCCAGTCAGAGCATGGTTTAACTGGAGTGCAAAGAGTGAGCATGGCCAGCATGAACAGCATGGCCACTCTTTGCCAGGAGCAGAAAAATGCAAAGACAATGTTGAGCTTTGGCCTTGTGATAGTAGATTAACTCTTCGCCTGGGGGTCTTGGCACTCCCACTGTGTGGGAGCTGCTTTGACAGGTAAGCTGCACCACTGTGGTAGTGTCATCAGTACTGAAGAGGTTGCTGGGGAAAAATAAAGGAAAAACATGCCCCAAATAATTTTACGATCTGCCAGACTAAAGTGCACTGCCATATCAGTCGTCACAGAAGTCCAGCTAACTTCCCTTCAACATTTTTTTACTTTTGTCTAAAGTGGATGTGTCTCAGCAGGTAGGATCTGCAAAACCTTGTGATAACCACCATGCCCTTCTATACTCAAAACTATCCTGTTTTTAGCACAGTGCTTAGAGATGGTATTTAGGAGTCCTCTGAACTCAGACACATATATTTCCTCCTTCTCCATTTACCATGAAACTCAATTTCTTTGTTCGCTTTTGTCCTATGATTCAACTAATTGGGGAACCTCCATTTTCCTTCTTTGACATTTGGGTCTCCTCCTATAGCTGCCGACTCCCATACTGGCAGCAGGGTTTTCCCCTTTAAGACCTTCGTCATGCCAACAAAAACTATGACGCTCAAAGATTCCCCTTTGCACCTACACACGTCTCTGACGTCCCTGCAAGCCAACTCACATCTGCTAAATCTGTAGTGTCTTGTCTGAACCCTCAGCTCTGATCTCTCCTGACTCTTTGTACATCTACCACAATGAGCACCTCATTCTTTGTTGGGACGCTTAGGGTCTACCCTGGAAGTTACTACTGTAAAAATCCCAGCTACTGGATGTTTCCCAAAGTGTCCTGACGCTTGACAGCAGCGCTATTTGCGTGATCGTGGTGAGGCTCCAAGATCAATGCCTCCCTGAGGGGCGCAGGAAACTCTGAACCTGCCAGAGCCATCTGCAGTTTCAGGCAGAAATCTGTATAGAAGGGAGTGCTGAATTCAAACTATGAGATTTCTGTAAAGGTAGTGTCCTGTGTACGGAGCTGTGGAAAAGTTCTCAGAAGAAAACCAGTCTTGCCCATTAGGTGCTAACAAGCAGAATAAGTAGGTTCCTTTCTTTCTCCCCCCACCCATCCCATCATAATGAGGTTACTGGAAGTTAAGGAGCTGCTGGTTTAGAGGCAGCAGCAGACTTAAATGGGATTATGGGAAGGGCACGTTTAAAATAACACCAGATGCACTTTGGTCTTTGGCAAAGTAGTCAAATCCCAAATATTAACTCAGTCTTCATGTTACTGAGTGCCAGAGATCAGCAGTACTGTGTGAATAAAAGATGGAGAAAAAGACTGAATGTAATATATCAAATTAGTCACTATAGACCAGCAGGTAAATTCACAGTTAAATGCCTGCCTTGCTTTTCCAGCAGACTGAGGATGAGAGGGAAGGCTGGTTGTGAATTCTCCTCAAAAGAAACCCAGCATTCATATTTCTATTATAATTCTGTATTCATGTCTCATGCACTGCAGTAATAGCTAAATCTAACTTCACAGCAACCTGCCAAATCCTTCAATCCTAATCTATCCCTGAGTGGAACTAAAGTTGATTTGTAAGAGAAATGTGTTTTCTATAGGAAAGGGAATTTGTAAGGAAGACAGATAGGAAAGACTTCACGAACTGCAATGAACTCTAATTAACACACACCCAACAAGACTTTTTCTCTGTTATATAAATCACAAGGAGATTTAGACTATGGTGAAACATCAACAGGGTCTGCATTTCTTAAGCACAAATTCACAGCATGGAGAAGCAGTGACCAAACCAGAACAAAACAAAATGATGCTAAAATAGAAGCAATGCCTTGCCTCGGGAACAGAACACTTACTTTTTTTTTTTTTTTTTTTCCTTTCTTTTGCAGAGGAGACGATGGGGTGCTCCGGCTCCTGCCGTACTCACAGGCTGCTCTGAAAAAACTGCAGGAAGTGCCTAACTTCCCCCACGTGCAGTCATAAGTGACGAGCTAAAAAGAAAGCACATACCTTCACCAGACTCTCCAACTGTGTCACTTTTATTTGGGTGTGCACAGAACGAGGCTGACCAGTGCTGCCAGGAGAGCATCTAGGAGGAGCAGAAGCCTTAAAAAGGACAGTGTCAAATTCTGCCACTTGTACAGGGGTGGAAAGATGCTTTTGTGACTGCCAGACTCTATCTGGGCTCCTGTTCTGAGTGTGCACCTTAATCACTGTGATGACGTGCCCTGGAGGGACAAGAGACCAATGAACTGTTCCAAACCCTCCTGACTCCTCAGGAGCACGATGCCTGTGGTAGGTGCTTATTCCTTATTTGTGGAGTAGATGTAATCCCCTGGCTAAGTGTGAAATGGCTAGGTATAGAAATAGGTGAGAGCCAGTGTTAGAGCCCAATAGAAGGGAGGGGTAACAGAGGGGAGAGACTATTCTGGTGCCAGCAGTGCTAGAAAAGGCTGAAAATGAGCTGGTGGTTTGAGCAGCTTCAAGAAGAAGTGTTCATTTGCAGGAGTTCCTTACTAGGAAAGAGCTTTGATATAAAGGAGCACGTGATCTGTGCCAAGTGCTGTAGCACAGGCTTTAAGTGAAGGAGGAAGAAGATCCCAGTGTTATGTTGCCAACCTAGACCTTGTTTGTGAGACCTGTTCCATGTGTTTTTGCAGATGCTGTGTGTGACTCTGCAAAAGTCAGTTATGAACAGAGTTATTAAGTTTTCAGGCAACTTACCCATCAACTTCTACCAATTCCACTTGCAGTGAGATGCTTACAGGACCCTGTGAGGGTATGTCAGTGCTTGCAGGCTGCTGGGGGCTAAGGTAGGACAGGGTGGAACTGGGTAGTAACCTAAGGCAAGCAGAGTACTGAATTTACTTTTGATATCTGTATTGAAAGCAAAGCATTTCTGCTGAAAAATTAAAGAAATACTTAGTGTGTACTTTTATTCTGGTGTGAAAGAGTTACTTTTTTTCCATTTTGCTGGAGAGGGTCTCTGGGGATGACTCCTTCTGTGAAGAGCAATTTATTATCTGGATCCAGAAGGAATTGAGGAAGAAGAGGCTGAAGCCAGTTTCCATCTGTGGAGGAGAATAGGTGAAATGTCTGTCTGTATCAGCTCAGCCTGACAGGGCAGAGGGCTGGAACCAGTCTGTGCACTTCCTCAAACACGTGGTTTCATTTTGGTCCTGTTCTATGTAGAGACCAAACCCAAAGGAAAACACAAAGAAGGATGGAATGATGTTTCTGAGACGACCAGAGCTGATTTCTCTCTGTAGGTGACCATTCCTCATTCAGAGGTGTAGGACAGAAAAAAGCAAAGTGCTCTCAGACCTGAAGAACTGGAGTTTTCACAGACAGCAGTGGGCTCCCCTGTGGTACTTTTGATGTCACAGTTCCCATTTGGATGCAGTCAACTGTGGAGTCAAATACCTACCTGATTATTCTCTCACAGGTGTAGGGTTTAGGATAGTCAGGGACATATGCATTTTTGTAACTAAATTTCATGATGCAACATTGAAAATTGCATGGTCCTCCATAGGGAAATGGAAGATGACACATCTCTGTGCCCTCGAATCTTCCAGTCAAACCTGAAAAGTATTACTATTTAGAATCACTGCTACTTCATGCTTCTCTCAGTACAGCCACAATAGACATCCCCCACAACAATTGCCCTGCAAGCTGAAGATTGATGCTAAGATTTAAAAAAACCCCTGACAAGATCTTCTGGGACTGAGATGAACACAGATCTAGGGCTTCTGTGGGTGGCAAAACTAAACCAAACAGTTGAAGTAAGTTTAGTCTGTATTTGGTAGAGATAGTGCAAGCAGTACAGTAACATAAATTCTGACTGGAGCTGTACTGTAATGATGTCATATCTAGGCAGAGAAAAAAGATCAGATAAAGAACCACTTATAGCAGAAGGCAGAAACCCTCTGGCCTCTGTTTAAATCCAACTGAAGTAAATGGAAATGTTTCTTTTAGCTTCATTGAGTTTGGATTGGGCAGTTTAAGAATATTTCTTTCTACCATATAATTTCTGCATGCTATTTAATCAGCTGCCTTTTTGGTAGCACATTTAAGCAAGTTGAGCTGCAGAGATGTCTTCTCTGCACTCTTGATCATTTTGCTGCTGTGGCAGAGTGACTGTTCAAAAACATAAAAGAAAAAAGAGTCAATCCTTGTTTTAATGCAGTGCTGCATAGGAGAGAAAATTTGTGGGGATTTTCACAGCACTATGATAGAGAAATTGCTTGTGTACCATAGACCAGTAAACACAAATAACCATGGAAGACTGTTGGGACCCAATGTCTTTGAAAGACTCTCAGATTTGAGTTTTCACTCACCCTTTTTTTCATTTAGAAACTATCAAGAGAAAAGCTGGTAGGATATTTCTCTCTTCCACTGCATATGAAAATGCTCTGTGTTAGTGTTTTTTCTTCCCCTGGTTGTGACCAACAAGAACCTAGAAATGGAGAAAACTTCAGATCATCTGCCTCTCCTACCTCCACCTGCAATTGAACAGAGTCGTGGTCATTTGACAACTCTGCAAATGATTACCCAGGAAGACAACTTGGTACAGTTGTACATCTTTTTCCAAGTAACTGAGGCTCATTTTTTTGGAAAATGGTAGAATATGGCTTTAAGTTTGCAGCATGGGAAAGTGCTCATATGTCTTTCTGGCTTCCTGTGCACACCCAATTCACAGCAGGGAGTGCAGAAACCTTCTTGTTCTGCTGTTGGAAGCAAAAGGTGGGAGTTTCAGCTGCTAAGCTTTTTGATGCACTGGCTTTTCTACATGTGATGGGTGGGTTGACACAGTCAGATTCCTTCTGGTTAGCCAGGTTGCATAAATGCCTGCATCTCACATCTGCACTGGAAAATCCTCTTGCTTTAAGTTTGCCTGTTTTAGTGAATGGCGTGTGGAAATTTGGTCGTCCTCAGTTTTCACTGGTGCAGTGGTGTACTGTGTGCCTCTGGAAATCCACAAAGTGACTGATCATGCCCTTATCAAGGAAAGAAAAGCCCTATCATGTTTGACAGTCCTACCCCTTCATGCACTGGGATTGATGCATTCCCTCTCAGGAGCTCCCTGGCAGAGCGCAGCTTGTTGCCATGTGGCAACTGAGAGACCTTTGACTCGACTGACTTCTCTGGGGCAAACAACAGATTTGTCCTCTGAATGGTGAGAGTGAAGAGGTGCCAGTCTGTGCATTGGGGCCCTTGGGATGAGGTTGGGCACGCAGCTGGGTCATATCTAACAGCCTCTTTGGGACATCCTGCTGCCAGTGGCACAGCCAAAGCTGAGACAGTGAGTGTGCTGCAGCTCAGTGGATTTGTCTCCACGCTTTGAAGTCCACGTCTAAATACACATACCTCCAAACATCCCACTCACACCACGCATTCAGCCTGGGTTGCAAGCCTTTTGACAGATATGTCTGCCTTTTTTTCTTGTAAAAACCCCACCTTATACTAGGAAACTCTAACACCCACTGGGTAAGGAGGTTACAGTTGTTAGTGCATGGGGAGGAAAAGGGTGCGGTTCAAAGAATACACATTTATAATTTTTTTTTACTAACTCAAAGCAGCAGCTCTGGGCCAACAGTTGAAGTTGGTTTAAGCTTCACAAACTCAGAGGGAAGTTCAAGCTGGTTTTGCACGCTGTGTAAACAGCTAATGTGGCTACCCAGAGCTCTGTGCGACTGCAGGGCTCTTACATTTTTGATTATTAGATCTGAGGTTAATGCAAAAATTGTGTCAACCATGTAAGGTTGAGGGCTACGATGGGGAAATGAACTCCAGCTCAGCCAGATCCAATACAACAATGTCATAAGATCTGTCCACCCATTTGAAAACCCTAGGATATGGAATGGCTGAAGGACTGACTGGGAGCTGACATGCACAAAGTGAGTGCCCTGGACAAACCTGAGCTTTGGATCCTCCAAATCCCACTCAAACACCCTAAATTCAATTTTTTTTTTGTTTACTCCTGCTGTTTTGCCCTTAGCCACCGTCATTTTTATCTGTAGCTAGGCTTGACCAAGCTGGTGCAGCAGAGATTCAAAGGGTGTGTGGTGTTCATGTTGCATCTGCTCCTTCAGCTGCGGTTAGGGACCCTCACTGCCAGCTCTCCACTGCAAAGATTCCAGCAGCCCACCCTGGAGAGCTGCAGGAAGTCCTGGGAGGGTGGGTGGCTTTAGGAAGCTGGTGCCCTGCTAGGGGAAGCTGCCACAGAGCTGGCAGGTACCCGTGGGTTATCCCTGGCACGACCGCGCTGGGGCTCAGTGCCGAGGGGCACCTTAGAAAATGCTGCTGGCAGGAAAGCAGGAAACACTTTGCAGAACAGAGATAACATAGAAAATAATGCTATGTAAATGGTTTGATTTACTGATCTGCACGTACAGGGGCTGACATGTAAGCACACAGGAAAAGGAAATGGGACAGAGGAGGAGTGGGAGGAAAAAGGCAAGAAGACAACAAAACAGGAGGGCAAATTTAATCGGGGACAGGACTTAATGTCCTGGTTTTTCTCCAGAGCATGATGTGTTGTGGAGGTCTGCAATCACAGATGGACAGAGGATGTGAGTCCTTTGGTTCAAAAGAATGTCCCTATATATTAAAATCGGCAACTTGCATCAGCTTGGGATTCTTCAGCACTAGGAATTCCCTCTTGTATACATCTGGAATCACCCTGGACATGACAGCTCTTGTCTAGATCAAACTGGTCCCTGAGTCACTGATCTGAACTTCAACAGCTCTGTGTGATGGAGAAGTCGCAGAAGTTGTCAGCTCTGTGCTCCATTTCTCATGTTTTCTCAAAAGCCATTTTTGCAAGAAGACTTCAGAGGTCTCTGTGATTTCATGTGAGGTGAAACTCCCATGGCATGAGCCTCAGCAAGCAGTGGGATACACACCTGCTGCCAGCAGCAGGCATCTCCATAAGACCATCAGGCAGAACCCCTCTGCACAACTGATTTTCGTGAGCCCTTGCCAGACCTTTTGTGATCCACCTGACTGACTGCACCTCAGTGGGGGAGCTGACAGACCAGTGCAGGCTCTACTTTACAATTACTTGCTTTGTGTCACTGACCTCCAGTGGAAGAACTGAGGCTCTTATGTGGGTGTGATCTGTATGGATGACACTACTCTGCAGAAGCCAGGCTGTGGAACCATCTCCTGCAGTTAGATGGTTACCTCTGATGTCTTTTTTGAGGCATCTTCTCTTGAATCTTGAGGGATGCTGGTGGGCGTGAAAGACCCCTTCCAGTCTTTGCTAGAATCATAGAATAGAATCATTTGGGCTGGAAAAGACTGCTAATATCATTGAGTCCAACCATTAATACAGCACTGCCGAGGGCACCACTAAACTATGGACCCAAGTGCCACAATTAACATATTTTTTTGAACACTTTCAGCAAAGTGTTCAAAAAATGTATTGTTATAAGCAACTTAATGCTTTGGAGAAAGGAAAGTGCCTGATGAAGGTATGATGTTCAGCCTTAAATTAAAGTGAAAGATTTAATGGGGCACGTATCTTGAGATATTTGCTTTGCCTTTTCTCAGATAAATTCCCTGATACAGTCTGAAAAAGGAAGTACGGCCTTCCTTGACATTTCTAGGTATGTGTACACCCCAAGGAAAAAAATTCCAAGCTTTTTGCCCTCCTTCTCCAGCAGTTTTTCAGATCCTCTTACTCTGTCATAAAGAGGGAACAGACAACAGAGAAATCTATGTGAAATCATCCTCGAAAATGCTGACTTTTGATCTCCTGCACAGTTTATTCAGTATAAATATGTCTTCCTACATATGTTGGTCTTTGTATAGATCTCCGGAACTTTTGTGTTCATCAG